ATGATCATTTATAAAATAGAAAATGCAATTCTTAAATTATTTGAAATGATATTAATAATTATTTTCATGCTTCAAATTTTCTAGCAATTTCTTTTCTTTAAAAATTTTTTTTAAATCATTAGTAAGTTAAAATTGACTTACAAATGTATAACTTAATGAAAAAAATAATGAGAATTAATAATATCACATAAAACTAGCAAAAATCATTCTTTTGAACAATATAATATATAATATATTATATATTCGAGCAATATATAATATCATGTTGATATCATACTAATTTTAAAACAGATATACATGTAACATACTTCTCTTAACTCTTCGTATCAGCAATTAACATCAATGAAGATCCGTAACGATGAATGGAAAATATACGGGTAGAACCGCATACAAGACTCCAAAGATGAATGCGTGGAAGTCTTATGATGACAATGGAGGATTGGCATTGTAATACTTTAACGGAACGATAACGAGACAGACGATTTACCCGTAGATGCCGTCGGTTCAATTGAACGGCATGCAGACAACGTGGCCGTTGGTCACTGCGAAATAGAGAACGACGTGTGAAATGGGTATCGTGATGTACCGACCGGATGCCACTTCCTGCTTACCACGTCTGCGTATCATTGTACATGCACTGTATCTAGCGATGGGAATAAGACGATTCGAAACCTTTTGAGATTCACTCTCGATAATTTTCATCTGTCATGATAAGATATTATTATAAATAATTCTCTTGTCGTTAATAGTAAATATGTAAATATAATTTGACTGAATAATTCTCTAATCTGATCTTAAGAGAAAAATAGTGTATTTATTCAATGATAAACTTAAGTAGAGTTTATATAAATAGTTATCTAGTTTTAGGATTTTAATAATTTAATATGCTTTTAATGATATTAAAGCTAATTAATCTATTTGTGTAAATATCTATAAGACTTAAATGCCAAAAATCTGACAAGATTAATAAAAACAAATTTGTTTTAATACAATTTATACGTATCATAAAGTTTATAATTATTTTCCATTTCAATCAATCTTTCTTTTCATTTAATGTCACATGAACAAAAAAAGAACAAATTGAAAGTTAGTAGGTAATGCAGGAAGTAGCAGAGTCGACACATATATCGATAAACGGTTTCCGATAGATTTGATCCATTAACACTTCCTTGTTATTAATGTTTCGTATATCTAGAAAACATATATTAAATTAACAAAGTTTTAAAAACAAGACGTTCGTATAGTAATATGAAATAAAATTTCTATTATTAAAATGTATTAGTAAGGAGGAAAAAAAAAGGGAAAAAATTGATAAGCGATATAAGAATCAAGATTCAAGTTTTGTGATAAATGATTTATAATCATGATTTTCAGGTATCAATTTCTGACTTATTATTATTATT